CCGTTGCATGGGTAAAGGCATATGCTGGAGTAGGTGTTTGATAAGTAAGAGCTGAAAGGTTCCTTGCAGGAATACATTTATAGAATGAGAGAATATTTTGAATAAGACCTAAAATCAAATTTTAGACGCGGTTTGTGGCATTGCATATGCAATTGTGTATACACTATGTCCATCAAAGCACACTATATTAAATAATTTTGTTAGATGATGATGATTATTATTTGTTGTAAAATATAGAACAGGACTAAGAAATATAAATGAGATTCTTACAAATAATAATAATAAAAAAGTAATAAAAGATAATTGACATTTTTAAATTCATTAATTACAATACTACGTTAAGTAGCAAAAGTTTATGTAAACATTAAAAAAATATTTTTAAAAATGAATGATTTGAAATAGTGAATAAATATATAATAGAAATTTAAAAACATGCATAGTGATTACAGTTATATACAAAGTAAATTAAAGTAAGCGTTACGTTAAAACATGATTAAGCTATGTAATTTGATTTAGAAAAAGATATTCAGAACGTGGGAGTATAGTATGTAAAGAAAAATCGTAGAAAAATAATAAATTAAGTTTGCATTGATTTGTGTAAAATAGAGGTCAAATCAAATTTCATTGTAACAAGTAAAAATATCCGAAAGTTTCGTATTGGTGGATTTTACAAAAGGAGTAGGCCTATACTTTTAGCAGAGATAAAGAAATAAAACTTTTGGAAATAAATAATATATTAGTTAAATCTAATATTGTGTTTTGAATTGCTATTAACTCGAAAGATTAATCTTGTGTATGGATAATGTTGACGTATTTGGTTCTTGTATAATTTGCTTCGAGGTATATTCTAATTAACAGTTCTTAAATCCATTAACTGCAAAATTTACTTCTCATTTAGAGATATAAATTAAATTTATTTTAAAAGAAAGTGTTTAAATTAAATTTAGTATAATTTATGTAAATATATTTTTTCTTCGGTATTTATTTTATTTTTAAGATGACCGAAACTTCATTTACGTAAATGATTATTGGCCTGTAAGCTAATTTTCGATTTTTTAAAATTAAAAATATATTTTATTTTTATATGTAGTATATTTTATTTTTATTTTACGTTTTTAGAAAAAAGGTAGCAATCAGTGGAGCGCTTTTACCAGCAGAGAATTCTCTAATTTCGGAACTAACATTTTAGGTTTGGTAACCTATTAAAAATTAATTAATTGAAACATAAATGAAAATTAGATCTCTAGATCACAATTTTTTATTTTTACTCGCTTTAATTAAATATTCCTTTCCGACGTTCGAATTTTTCTCTTGCGAAATATTTGAGGAATTATATTTTTTATACAAGTATAAAATTTGATCAGTAACATAAAAATATTTTTAAATTTGTTATTGTGAAGATTTTTCATATCTTCCCAGACTTTAGATTAAAATTAGATTAATGTGTTTTTCGAAAATTTTCACATAGTTTAATTTAATATAAAAGCGAACGAAATTCTTCGCAGAGGTGTTTAAAAGATTTTATTTAAAATTTTACTTCTGGATTTTCTATCTGGTTTAAGTTTATGGTGCAATGACTGAGGTTCTAGATTTTCGGAATTGGCCCAGTTTGCCTAAGAAGTTAGAGAAAGCGATGAAATTTTATAGCGATACTTTAACTGTACTTGAAATTGAAATGTTTAAGCTTTTATTGCAAAATAATAGATATAGAATATTGCGATTAAAAATATTTATCTTTGCTTTTTATTTATTTTTACTAAGGGAAAAATTCTTTAATATGTTGACTAATTCTCAAATTTAAATAAAAGTTAAAATTGTATTAAGGCTCTAACTTAGTTTAATATTTTTATAAATAATGCATGATCTTTCGCAGAAAGAACGATAAATGCTATTTAATTATTATGAAAATGCATAATGGATGAAAAATATGTTTAAATACTGAAACGTTTGTATGTTGAGCAACACTTTTTCCCCCCATAATAATTTAACCATGCACCGAAAATTGACGGTAATATAATTTTATTCTTTACACAAAAAGCATCTCATAAGAAAAATCATAAAATAAAATCTTGCTAGGAGCATTAATAAGCCTAAGAAAAATAACGCTATAAGTTACTGCGGAACTACAAGTATTTACTCTGGCAGCCATCTAGTTCGAAAGAACGGAATACGTTTAAATAATAGAATAATACATTACAAGTTTTGTTGTCCTAGCATTAATAGTAAAAGAAGATAGTTAAATAAGAAACTATATTAATAAATACAAAAGAGAACTATTTTCAAGCTACTGGTAATTAATAAAATATGTAAGACTAAAAGATGAACGAGTCTCTATATAATGTCGGAAATACCGCTTGTCCTAGACACTAAAAATATAAAGGAAGTTTTTAAGTTAAAATATTTATTCAAACTGCACAAATTAAAAGTTACGTTATTGCTTGCTTCCGAGTCTGTATATATTTCAATTTACTGTCTGCAGAAGATGGTAGCCGTTTGTGGATTGACGATAGCGGTTATATCCCGAAGAGACTTGAAATTTTTTTTATGCGGGTTGTTAAAGCAACTGAGTTGTAAAAATTAACAGATACTTATCGCTTATTTTATTGTTTATTAACAGCCTTATCGGTTTTGATTTCGGTGAATTATTTAGGTTTTTATTTATATTTTACTTGTATATGAAAACTGGGATTATATTTTATGACGATGAATATTATTATAGGTATTTAACGTTAAAGTTGCTTACATCATGATTTTCACGCCACATTTCCTAAATTTCTACCTTATCTAAAGTTTAGGTTCCACAAAACATTCTAATCTTAAATTCTTTGTTCATATTACTAAAAATGTTAAATATATATTATGATTTAAATGTAACAGAATATAATTACATGTTTTTATTTAAAAAATATTTTTTATTTTATTGTTCTTATGTACTATATATATATATAATTTATTATAAATGAATGTTGTAAATGATTGTTATTTTTATAAATTACTAATTGTTTGGAAAAAGCTACACGTGTTCAAATTAATTATCAGTTATTGCTGTATAAATACATTAAAAATATATTCGAAACGTTTTTTTCTAACTATTGATTACTTCTCAAGTCTCTATCTTGCATATCTTCTTATGAATAATTATATTTTATGGGAATAAGCATAAAATTGCTAAATAGAACTCATTACATAGGAACACAATTAGATGAATAAAAAATAGACTTTATTTTATACAATGGAAAGGATATGCATTTCGGAATGTTTGCCCCTCTTCAGTCCATATTGTACTGTACATTTGTTAAAACTACGGAATAAAATTTTATTTATATTATTTTCGTATTTTAATTTTTATTCCATAGTTTTAACAAATGTACAATATGGACTGAAGAGGGGTAAACAACCCGAAATGCATATCCGTTCCATTGTACAAAATAGTCTACTTTATTCATCTAATAGTGTTCCTGTGTGATGAGTTCTACTTATCAATTTTGTGCTTATTCCCAAAGAACAAAAGAACGAACAAGAAACAATTAAGTATTAAATTATATTTTAATTAGACATAAATATAACGAAACATAATTGTGATATTACATATATCATATAAAATTCATGTAATATTTGAACATAAATTCGTAATTCGTTTGGCTTTTATGTTAAAGTGTTTTTATTTTATTTATCAAATGAAAATGAAAGAAAATGAGAAAACGTTTACCGGTACAATTACAAACAGAACTAAATATCTTAAACAAAATGATTGTTTTGACAAACGTTTTTGAAATGTTAAATGGATCGAAAACGTTTGTTCAAAAATTCGCTGCTAAGTTTTATTTAAAAATAGAAATATTTATATAACATAAACTAATATTTCTCTCTGAGGACGAAGTCACTAACTAAAAGATTCCGAGCTAAATAAATAAACTTAATTAGTGTATTTTTCGTGAGTTTCGTTAATAATAAAATTTGTAGAATAAATATTTTAATATATTTTAATTAAATATGCGTGCATGTGTAAATTTAGATACTATTATTATATAGATTATACACGAAGTTTTGTTGTTGTTTTTAAAAATAAAATATTTAGATTTTATTTACGTTTTACTTGTATACGAATTGTATATGTTTATGTATACATAGTTAGAGTATTCTATATTCAATTTAGAAATGTCACACTTGGAATATCAAAAGCATATTAATACGAAAAATTTTGTAAATACTGTAATTAAGAAATATTATTTATTCAAAATAGCAGAAAATTTTTTAACATTATTTAAGCGTTTCATTGAAATGAAAGAATCTTTTAAAATCTGAATTCCGAGTTTAAAATATACTGAAATTTTAAACTCAAATTCTCATTAGTTTTTATTAAGTTGATATTTTTAAATATTTTGTCGGTTATAAAAATTGTAAACTTCAAGGAATTTTGTTAATATTTTAAATGTTTTTCTGTACTGTTATATCAAAATATATATTTATTTTATTTCACATAAAAATTTGTTTGTTTGTTCGCAACTGATAAATTAATAAAATGTTAACAGAAGCTAAATACGAAAAATGAATTTGTCATTTAACTTCATCACAATAAAAGAGTGAAAAAAATTATAATTAGAAATGTTTCTTTATTTTATTTTTTTGTTTAAATTGTTTTTTTCTTCTGAATAAATTTTTAGTATAAATAATATAGTAGTAGTAATTTTATTTGAATATATTCAAATTGAAAATTTATATTGATTTGGGTAGAACAAAGGCAACTTAATTCAAAATAGAATGAATTATATAATTTCATCTTCAATAATATAATTGAGTAATTTAGAAATTTTCATATTAATAATTTCGTTCATCAAAATTCTTTTGCTATATGGAATAAATACATAAATTGTGTATTATAATTTAGAGTGACGGAATCTAACTGGTTAACTTAATTAAAGTTTTTAAAATAACTTACAATTTCTATATATATATAAACTCGATATTTAAAAAAATAACGCCGAGATTTATGTTTGCAGCTTCAAGAATTAGATATGAAATCACTCAGGGAAATATAGGCGGAGCATTTGCTGTAAAGAATGAAACTGGTGCTATATATGTTGCTGGTCCTTTGGATTATGAAACGAGAAAAGAGGTAAATAATATGTAAGGTCGGAAAACGCGTCGGTTACTTTATATTAAGTGTGTTTATAGCAAGTTAACTGTGGTTATTTATCGTTTAAATCAGTAATTCTGAACAAAAATTATACAGTAGAAGATAAAATTGTAAATAATAACCTGTATACTTTTTATTGTTGAGTTTTTAATAGTATAGTAAAAATAATGACTATTATACTTAACTTTTCCTGTTACTATTTTATTAATGTAATTAACATTTTTTTTTTCCAATTGGCAGTTGAGAATCGCTATTTTAGATGATCTCGTTATAAGTATAAAGTGTATACATAGACCTAATTTTTGTAAATATTTTATATAAGTTCTAGAGTTTATCGCGTGTTTTATTTTAATGCTTAACCTTATCTATTGACTTACATACAAAATTTTAACTGTATTGAATCACATCTAGAAAACTTATTGTGCCCAAGAGAAAGATTGAATCACTGCTGAAGTGATTTGATCAGATGAGCTGGAAAAATTTATAGGAGAATTTACTTGATAGTCATATTTATGTTTTGGATCTATTACTAGAATGTTGTTTAGTATAATTTTTTTTTTTTTTTTGGTAAAATCCATTGGAAATTTTTTCTAGTATTTTTGCGAATGGCTTAGTTATTTCAGAAGTTGCTGATTCGTGCAACACTTGTTCCGAATCGAAATTTCGACGTGTGGTGTCTTAAACAATATTGCCACTTCCCAAATCCTTTGTAGTCTATACTAGTTTCCTACTAGAAGATCGATAAAATTCGTAAGAGACAGTCCATTTTCGCGTTTTGCACACACAAATGCCACCACCACTTTCTTTCCTAATTTTATAAAACGCTTTTTCTTTTTTGATTTTACTGTATTTTTCTTTTCTTTTTTCACTATCGAGTTTCAGTTTTTATTTTAATCGTTAACCTAGTGCAATATTCTTGCAGTACCGAATATTTATCTTATAAATATTAAATATTGCGCGTTGATTATCACAAAAGACATTATTTTTGAATATCTGCTATCTAATATAGTTTCTTTTCTTAGTATAATGATCCATAATTTTTAATATAATTATTCGATAGCTTTTATTTAATGAAATGATGTGTACTTACAGTACAGTACATTCGCACATAAACAACTATAGCTCTGATTTATTTGACTGTTAAAGAAGACTGCATTTTCTCACATGATCGAAAAATTAAGACAAATCATCGGTTAGTTAAACGTCAGTGATAATGACGATGTAATTTAAATTCGTCCATTTGTCTTTCTGAATCATGGAGAGTAGATGTTAAGTGATGTAAAATTTATTTTATTTTGTTTTATCCTAATACAGTGTTTAGATTTATACAAGTAAAAATGCAGAATATAATTATCAATTAATTCGTGTTTGAATACTTCTCATTTCACACAATATTATCTTTAATTTATTAATAGTTCAAAATTATTCTATTCTTGTTATATATATTTCTATTTATTTTATTCATAGTAATTTGTACAGAAATGCAGCTAAAGTACAGTAACTTATTTAATTGATTACAATTGTCTTGTATAGTCATGATCTACTTAAGAGTTCATTGATTGCACATAACCTTCATTATTTTTTATCTAGACGTCGTAAAAACTACTAATGGGAAAATCATCGGATTTGTTTGATTTCAGATAATCGTAAGTTCCATAATCAATAAAGGCAAACGTTAAAATGATTTTTAAGATGTCTTTTCGCACTTTATGTAACCTGATTCTTACCGAAAACTTCACAACCAATGAACTTCTGGTAGCCTACTACTATTTCGACTGCTTTATTGGATTCGATTTTTTGCCGTTTTTCAGCTCACGTTGTCAAAGAACTTTAGCATCCGTTCATTCGGGTCACGATAACTGAAGTTAAAAGATCGAATCGTGCTCAAATTTTGGGTGAAGGTCAAATAATGATTCTGAGATTCTGAATGATGCTTACGCAAAAATTATTCTTGTGTTATTTGGAATGCACTTATACAAGTTTATAATACATATTGAAAATTTTATGAACATATATTTAATTTAGTTATGTAATGAACACTGATATTAAAGAATTATTATTTTTCTTAAATTGTAAATAGTAATTGTTTATAATTTTATTGAATTTTGTTAGAATAATCAATGGAACAGAATTTTAAATTTTAATTTTTTTATTAGATTAAGCTTCTAATTTTGTATATAAATTAAGTTTTTAAGTCTATAGGTTTTTGATTAAAACATTTTGTAAATATTGAAAATGTATTTAATTAATTATATTTTGAATTCATTTATTACTTATAATAATTAATTAGTTTTTATAGGCTAATAAGTATAAACTAATTTTTTACAGTTTTATAAACATTTAATTAATTAATTATATTAATATTTAATAAATTAGTTTATTAAATACTTAAATGAAAATCATTGAAGTAAAAGCTTTCTATCAAAACTAGGAAATGATTAAGCTATTTACTGTCATAAATATAGTAGTAAATAGCTTGATATTTGAATGAATCGAAATTAATTAAATTAGAATACATATTTCTCTATAACACAGTTTTACAGTATTTGAGAAAACCGGAATCATGCTGTATCGAATTTTTTTCGTTTTGGCAGGTTTCCGATAAATATCGCACAGTTATATTAGTTTTTATAGTAAAATTACTTTTATTATTACACAATAAAAAATTATTTCTAGATTTAATTCAAAGCAATCTAAAGAGATTTTAACTAAAAATTAGTGTTCGAATGCAAGAATTGAGAACTGTTCTGTTCTGGAAAGTCATCGTTGTTTCCAAGTGCTTGTGCTAGATATTTGAATACTAAGTTCTCGGGTGCGATCCTTAAGAACTCAAGCTAACAAGCCAATTTGAGTATCAAAGAACTAGTGACTCGCTCTACCGTCGGAAATTCTAATCGCGTTACAGTAATAGAGTTCAAGTTATTCTGTAATCCCACTTCTCCAGGAATTTTAATACTCTAATTAATCGTTAACTTCGATCACTATGTTATCAACAATGTTAATCAACTTGTCCTCGAATACTCGATAATAGTTAGTAACTAACTACTACGTACTGTACAAGACAAATTGACAGAACTATATTATCTTATTCTTATTGTTTTCAACGAACATAATTCGTTATGAAATACAAAACTTTTTATATATAAAACGTTATCGTCCTTATTTATGGAAAAATTTCATTAATATCATTTTCCTTTTAATTATTATCAAATTAAAATTTCTCTGCTTATAAGAGCACCTCATTAAGTTCATAAATATGAATTAACTTCGCAAATAGACGTGTCCAAATTCTCAATATTTCGATATTGTGACGCTTGAAATTTTCAAGTTGTGATTTAACCCATTATAGTAACTTTAAAAAGCTGTTACTTTAGCGTAAAAATTTATTCAATAATAATATAGATTATTAATTTTATAGAATGTGCTGAATTTTCAATTTTAATTATATTTATCTTAAAAAGGCGTTAATTCGAAAATTATACTTAATTCAGAATTTATGTAATGAGATTAAATAGGCTAATTACTAAAAGCTATAAATTAACTTAAACAGAATTGTAGTATCAAATTTTATAACATAGGATAAAATTTATTTTCAATGGATTCGCAATTTGAGAGTATTCAAAAACATTTCATATTCATTCTGTCATTTTTTAAATAATTTTATAATGAAATATTGTACGCTATATAAAATATAATGTGTAATTTAAAAATACATTTTATATGCTATAATACGACTATAACTTACACATACATATATACATTAAAACCTGCATAAACCGGAATCGCATAGTAACTAATATTTTTCCGGTTTGAACAGGTTTTTCTTAACAGAAAATTGCTCCGTTCTGAAGAATTTTTCCTGTTAAGGCAGGTGTCCGTTTTATACAGATCCCTTGTTGGACAGGTTTTACTGTATATATAAATTATAACTATAACTTATGTTAATAATAAAATGAGTATGAAACGGCAAGTTTTTCCTATTGTTTGTTTTATTTTATTTTATTATTACTGTTAACTAACTGTGATTAACGTAAAAAACATTGGAATGCAGTTTCTGAAATAATTTTTTGTATTATAAATAAACCTCTTAGATTTTTTTCTGCATTTAGCTATTGATTTCCATGAATTCTTTTTTCTAAATTTTTCGAAGAATTTTCTCCAAATTTCGAACCGTCCTGATGACAAAGAATAAATTTAAAAGCCGGTTGTGGAAATAAGAAATCTTTATTTTTCATAATTAGGATCAGATTTTTTTCGTTCAGTTGATGAGAACCAATCAGTTTTATTTTTGTACATAACGTAAACAAATTATAATTTAAAAAGTAGCAATTTAAAAAAGATGAAAAATTGATTTGTATAAAGAAAACAAGAAAAACCATTTCAAATAAATCAAAACTATGTTCTTACACGTTATTTTAAAAAGATATAAAAATATCTTAAATTAATGGGCTATTTCGAAAACTATTATTTCATATTTTATTAAGATATAAAATCCGTAGTTTTAATGAGAAATTAGTTAAAATAAAAGTTTTTTATTTCAACTAATTTCAACCAAAATGTTAAAAAAATGAAAAAGAGAGAACACTTAAAATTCATACTGTAATAATTAAAAATTTTCATGATGCTTACAAAAAATAATTAAGACTGTTAAGAATTTTAGTAATAATATTGGATTTTACATAAAATAGAGATTAAAATTAAAATTTTAATTGATTAACTTGTTCCTGTAATGTATCGAATTTGATTTTTTGGTTGATTAACTTGGAATTTTTAAAAAAATCCGAAAAAGAAATAGCAAAAGAAAAAGCAAATATCTTTCCACAAGTTTGAAAAGCGAAGAAATGGGATTAGGTTTAATTTCATAAAAATTAATGTAGCGAAATTTGGAAATTTTTTACTTTTCAGAAATCTATGAATTTTGAATAACTTTTCTGAAAATAATCCCAAATGAGAAATATAATTTATAGAAGGATCCAAAAAATTTATTTTTAATAAAATATTCTAGGAATGATGTTATGGAACATAGTCCATCAATTTTATTTTTATATAACGTGAATTTATCTGTAATTATAATAAAAATTCTAGGAAAGATTAGAATTTACTTAAAATTTACATTTTGGCATTTAGCTTTTGAATCCTAGCTTTGATCACATATGTCAATATTAAAAATACTGAAATGTATTTATAAGCAGACTTACTTGAACATTAATAAAAATTATATGTATAGACTATATATATTAAAATATAATAATTGAAATATTTATATACATTTCTAAAGAATTGCAAATGAAACGTGTTAATGGTATATTAAATATACTAAATTATATATAAATAAAAATTTAAATTTAGCGAAAATATTATTATGAAATGTCAGCATTAGTCGTAATTCATTTTACTTATTTGGAATTTTTATAAGACAAAGACAAAATATTTTAAAAATTATTAATTGTTGTTAATAAAGATTTTTTAAAAATTAAGCTTTATATACTTAAATAATTTTTATTAATTAATCGAGTTATTTAAATTACCTAACTAAATGATTAAAACTAAAACATTTTTTAATCATTAACCGAAATTTATTTATAACTTGTATAAAAAAATCTATGTAAATTATTATTTTAATTTTTTTCCTGTTAGCTGATAGAAATTATTTTTTATCTCGTAATTCAGGTACAGTTTTTTTAGATTTAGACCGTGTATTAAAAACTTGTATTATTTTGTCTTTTGTTTACCTGAAATAGTAAACCAAAAGAAAATAACACTGTTTTTATATACTTAAATATTTTATACTATCTCGAATTCACTCGAGAATTTTCTTTAAAATATTGCATATACGCTGTTTTAATGCATTAATTATACTAATCGAATAGAAAATTTTCTGATAATAATATTTTAGGGAATATAAAATGTTGAGATTTTAGAGAAAAAAATATTTTATGAACAATATAACTAAGAAAAATTATCTAGATCAATTTGTAATTTTTTATTGGCTTATTAATATGACTTACTTGACACCATTGTTAACGTAATTTTATCCTGTAATTTTATCCTGTAATTTCACATTTAACGATTGAAATTATTATAATATTTAGTATAATCAAAAATTTGTTCATTAAAATATAAGGAAAAAATTATAAAATGATACAAATTAATTTTAATTCAACATTTTTTATTATAAGCCAAATTCTATTTATTTTGGTTTACTTGTGTGTTTTTCTGAGATAGTTTATCTTTCCATTCAAAATTACTAAGTTGCAAAATTAGCATTAAGTTACTGAAACTTAATGCTAATTTTATAAAATTGATTTTTCCTCAAATTATTGAATATATATTGCTTTAATGCTTTAATTGAACTAAAATTAAAACAACAATGAAATTAATAAGTGCACTTTCGAAATTAATTTGTGCACTTTCGAAATTAATTTATGCTCTCAAACAATTTATAACAAATATTACTGTTATAACTATAAAACATGAATAATGAAATATGAATTATAACTGAAAATAATGAAAGATTTTGTTTATTTTTTTCGAATCTTTGTTTATTTTTCTAGTGTTATATTTTTGTTTTAAATTGTAAAATTTTAAAGTTGTTTAATAGTAAAATCGAATTAATTCAAACAAATTATATTTTTTGCAAGATCAAAAGCTTTTCCATAAAGTACATAAGAATAATCGGATTTTTGAAAAAAATTACAGAATAGACTTAGCTATTTTAAATCTCATTAGCACTTATCCCGATAGTATGAATAAGAAGCAAGTAGTAGTTAGAATTCATTAAAAAATTTAAAATTTTTTTCATTTTCGTTTAACATGAACTTTGTTACACCCATCTCGAATTAATTTTTAAAATCCAAATCTTAGTATATAACATGAATAAGTAGTCTATAATTTAAATTAGAAAACTCTATTATAGAAAGTGTATTGCTTCAGTAGATAATACACCAAAGAGAATTTTACCAGAAGTTTTCAATTTCGTTTATTATTAAAATTGATTCTAGTAAATTCTGTAATCTTTATTTAAAATTTCAATAAGAATATTCTATTTTTAGACAAATTAAATGCTATCAATAATGAAAACAATTATTTAGCATTAGTCGAAACTTCCATTTGTTCGCTCGTCTAAATTACTATTTGTACAATATTCGGTATTAAGTCTACAGAAAAATTTGAATTGAATGCGTAAAACGTAGAAAATTCGTATTAAATTTCTTGAATTAAATTTATTGGCTTCTCTTAAAAGTTCAAATATTAAAACGAATTTAATATTTGAAGCTTTAAATTAAAGCTGTATGTTAGATAATAAAGAGTTAAATGATATATAATTTACGTATATTTATATATAATTTAATTTTCAGTTAGTTTGCTTTCCTTATTCCTCTGATATATAACAGATCATTCTGCAAAATTAAAAAGAAAAATTAATGAGAAATTTTTGGTAACGTTACAAATTTATTGACAATTTGTTTACAGTATAAAAATCTATTAAGGTATGAAGATATTTGTTTCAAAATCAACTATAAAATATATTTTAGGGGCAATCGAATTGATTGTGAAGTAGCGTCGTGACATTGCTTCGTCACAATCGATCCGATAATGCGTCTTGAAGTCTTGAGTGGAATAAAGGCAGATTCACAGCAACCGGCTCAGATAAGACCGGCAAAAATATTCTTATAATAGAAATTGACGGTTACACTTTCACTAACCTGCACAGACCGGAATCGAACTGACATTTTTCGAAAAGAATATTTTGCATGTGTCGGTTTGTGCCAGTTAATGTTCACATCACTAGCTGACAAGGACCGACACGCTCTTTTGATGGCTAACGGGCAATTCGAACTGGTAATGATTTGATTTTTTTAAAATCAAGCTATGTAAATTAAATTTAGTTTTTGTAGGTTTTCCTTTAAAGTTGTTTGTAACTTTAGTTAGTTTTTTTTTTTAAATTCGAAATGAACTGGATTTATCTTATACGAGACATTAAAAATACAATGGGCACTGCGGTGGTTTCAATTTTGGCCATTATGGGTTTGATCCATTGCGGAGTAGACCGATGTAGACAGCGAATGAAACTTTTGTTTTTTAATGAAGAAATTCTGCAGGAAGTGTAATATAATTAGTGTCACAAGAGTTATAATGAATGAAAAGAAGAATTTAAAAAAAAGAAAGAAAACTGAATTGCCAGTAGTAATGAAAATATAGACGAGTAGTCGGTCGATGGACAAAGCAACAAAGGTGTCAGGCTACGCTCTGCTGAGGGTCAACTTTAGAGTTTAGATCGGACCCTCAGGAGGTGTTTTCGTGAGTGGTCGGTATGGATATGTCAGTTCAGTTCCTTATCAGTCTGCCTGTCTTTAGTGTAGACCTGACTGAATTCGTAATAGGCAGAATCTTTCGAACTTAAATCTCACAGAGAATAATGTCTGACTAAAAGCGAAAACAGAATGAGTGTTGCGTCAGCATTGACGCCGTTTCTGGCAAATTTTTCTGTTGTTCATATTAGGTTATGTTTGAATTGGAACAGGTTGAACTTTTTTTAGAGAAAAACATTTGCTTATGATTTCATAACATTGAAGAGAAGGAAATTTATCTCGAACACAGCAGCTATAAAGAATTTACGTTCTATTTTGCTTTGAAAATTATGATTACTTTTTATTTTTCTTTTCAAATAATATGAAGAACAGTTTGCCGTTATCAATTCCATTTTGTTCTGTTGATATTTGTTTTCGTTTGCACTTGATTCGCTGCTTAGTTTTGTTCTAATTTCTCAAAGGGTCGGTAACCTTTAGGACTACGATCCTTTTGACTTTTTTTTGGTCGTATGAAGTTGACAAGTGTTCTGTGACTGTGGGAGTTCCTGACTCACACGAAGCTAGAATTTTACAGCTTTTTTAAATTCCGTTTTGACACTTCAAATTCATTGTTCATTTACAACGTAAATAATTTGTTAAATTAGTAAATTTATTGCATACTCAGTACATGTGTACTATAGGAGAGACTAGCCTAAAATGATATTCCATTTTGAAAAATCAAATTTTACTTTCCCGGCTGTTATATCTATATTACTGTGGAAAGGTATAGTGATCGATCAAAAAATGATCCCCTAGGATTTTTACATTTTTTAACTCGGGACCTTGAAACTAAGAGAAATGCAAAAATAGGTGTTTTTCTTTCCTGTATGTATTATGATTGTGTTTGTGTCTGGCAGAAAACGATTTTGTTCACCCACTTTGAAATTTAATAACTACTGTGTTTCTTGTCGAAAATTTCCGAAATTTTGCAGGGAGAGTTGTGTATTAGAGGGATTGATGCTGTTAAATTTTGGTGGTTATAAAGGTGGAGGGTGTTGGAAGATAGAGGCAAATCATTTGTCATATCTCTAATGGGATTGGACTTAATGAAAATTATACTCATTATTAGCAATTACAATTTTTTTTTAAAATAAGATTTATCCCTTATCTCAAAAGTAAGCTTTTTTCCATTTTATAATAATTAATAATATAAAACGTTATAAAATAAAATATCATAACAGATGGCGCCACACAATTTTAAATTCTTTTGCCGAGAAAGTCGCGCAACACGTTACTATATCTTTTTCGGAAATTCTCATTAATTTATTGAAATTCCCCAAAGTACTTACGAAACAGCATAACACGAATATTATACAGGTAGTAAAGATTAAAAATGCTGGTATTTGATAATTTTTTTTCACAAAACTATACGAAAATACCATTTTACCAGGATATGTGGATAAAATGACTGCTGTTCTCAAAATAGCCTACTAGTATACTGTTATGATTTTATGCATTTTCCTACTCAGCCATCTTCTTTTCAAGGTTAAATACGTGTACCATATATTTTTATTACTTAATTAGTAAGTAAACCGACAAACATCATTACAAGTTAAACTAAACAAACGTGATTCAAGAAGTTTTAAATGGTTGGCCAATTACATTATAATTTTACATTCATTGTAGCATGATAACGACAAATCTCTTTTGCACTCTTTAAACACACTTGGTTTCCAACTCTCCTATGAAGACTTGCTTGAGATACTGTGTCATTTTACCCCAGATTTTCACACGCAAGTTTTGTTTTACCTGATGGGGAAAAATCCGATAGCTGCGTGTGTACCCAGTCTCTCCAGTTAAGAAGAAACACCACACTATGTGCTAACATACTGTATTCGTTTTTTTAAAATATGCTTCTACTTTAATTTTTAATCTGAGCATAAAACATCATACAGAGAAAAACTTTCTATTGAGTAGTTTCACTTTTACTATTCTGCTTCAGACAAAGCCAATTCATAGTCGCCTTTTTTTTTTAAACAAATTCTATATTGTGAGATGTGGAGTGAAAATGTGTTTTTAGTTTCAGCAGAAGCAGCAATGCCAAATTCGTGGTATTCCTGTTATTATGACCTTTTAATTCAGTATGTCAATAGAGGCTAATCTTCCTTATGTCTAAAAGTTTTTATCATTATTTGTTATAATGTCTTATAGATTTATTTTCAAATCGATAATACAAATCGATGTTTTAAAAATAATTTTATCACAGTTCTTATTAAGTTCCTTTTAGTAATCATCAAGTATGTATATTACTGTTAATTTAAAGTTTGGATTAATCGTCATTTCAAATATTGAGGATTACGTTAAATTTTAAATCGTAACAGATGCTCTTTGTTATAATAAGATTGGTTAGGTCTCTGATGAGAATATTCAGTTTGTATAGAAAGTAAGTCTACTGAGAAAGTGATTAAAACAATTGTAATGTACAGTACAGTACATACAGATAAGAGTAATTATTTTTACGATGTTGAATGGAAAGGATTATAAAGATACAGTGAAAACAATTAAATAAATTATTGTCTTTCAGTAAATAAATGTTATTCTAAGATATTTTTATTTTGTATTTCACTGAATTTTATTTTATATATTCAATAATAAGCAACCATTTATGAAATACAATTGTAATAAAATAAAACATATATTAAATATTTAATTGGTTTTTTTAAACTAAATAGTGTATGTTCTTAGCATATAAGTAGTTATTATGTTATTAGGTAACAGCTACAGATGGGGACAGAGATCGTCGTCCCGATATTGTATATTTTCTCACTGGACAAGGTGTTGATGATCAAGATCCAGCCAATAGTAAATTTGCTATTAATACAACAACAGGGGAAATTTATGTATTAAAACCCCTTGATCGTGATTTACCTCATGGACGATCACAGTGGAGGTTTACAGTTTTTGCTGAAGATGAAGGTGGAAATGGTCTTGTTGGATATGCAGATGTCCTAGTTAATCTTAAAGATGTAAATGATAATGCACCTTTCTTTCCTTATGCCATATATACTGGAAATGTTACAGAAAATGGAACAGCAGGTAAATTTATTTTTTGAATACCTTATTTTTCCTTTATTTTTTTTTTAAGTGTTCAATATTTTTATTTTATTACTAGCATTATTTAATTTATATGAATTTTAAGTGGAAGCAATAAATTTTCAAAAATAGTTTTGAATTTTAATCAATATGCTTATAAGATGAAAATAATGAACTACTTTTTATATTAGAATTAAATATAATACAATATGAAGCTAAAGTAGACAATGCTTTATTACATTTTAACTTGTTTTTGAAATCCTACATTGATATAGTTGAAATACAATGTGCCAACTATCCTATATTGTCCTCCTATTCTTTTTCTTATCAGCAATGTTTTCATTTTGAGTATGATATTAATTGTTTTTTTATTTATTTTATTGTAACTAATTTTACTTTATCATCTCTTAAATATTACTGACAGACAATGTTCCAATATTTAATTTTTTTTATTCTAAAGTAGTAGTTTTGTCTTTATCCTTCACTAAAAATACAAGGAGAGAAAGATACTAGCATATAAGTCATATTATTTATAGGAAACTGAAGGTTAACTTCTTCACAATTTTTTTTTATTATATAATGCTTCATTTTCAAGGGAGTAATTCTTAATGAAATACTTCATAATAATATATAATGCTA